TCACTACTTATTGTTTTTATCTGTTAATTTGTTTCCCTCCCTTTGTTTTTCTGAACTATTTTTAATTATTAGGGCATTAGCAACTTTAAGTTTACTTTTAAGAAATAATGCAGTAACTTATTTTTATTATATATTACGTCTCAAAGATAAGAATAGAGATTTACAATTAAACAGGATGGATTTTTTTTTCTTCCTGAAACCCTCACTAAAATTAAGAAACAAAAGGAGAGTAGATAACAGTATATGAGGGACTTCAGAAGATGGAAAGAGTGAAGGTCTTTGAAGTGAAGTAGCCATAATCTACTTGCCTGCAGAGGGTGATATGTTGAGCGTAGGTACCCCACAGAACCTGAGAGATACTTGTAATGAGGAAATTCCAAGACTTAGGTGAAGTGTGGTACTGAAAACAGAGATTGGTTGGAAGATGATACAGAGAGTGGTTAGTTTTTCAGATAGTCTGCTCTGTCCTGTGTAGCTAAGTAACTCTCTTTTTCATCCTATAGGGGTCTAGAAGTTTATTTTCTGGAAGAATTGAACAAGGAATGCTTTAAATTGGAGGATACCAGGCATGTCAGAACGAGGGGATGAGGTGCAGGTTGAAAGTAGATTGAGTGAAACGTAGTATACAGTCATACATATAAAGTTGAGACCAGCCACCATCTTGCATGATTTTCCTCCAGCTGTTAGGGGGAATGTATGTAGTAGGGTAGATGACTGGATTTAACCAGAGTTGAGGCTTTGCCAGCTGAGACTGGACAAAGGAATATAATTCCAGTAGAAAAGCATATGATGTGGGGTAGATTCACTAATATGATTTGTATAAGAGTTCTCCAAAGAAACAGAACTAATAGTACGTAGATTATATATGGGTGTCTGTGTTTTTGTATAAATTACAAGGAATTGGCCAGTGAGTGTATAGAGGCTGAGAAGTTTCATAATCTGTTGTCTGCAAGCTAGAGACCCAGGAAAGCTGGTGCTTAGTTCTGAGACTAGAGGGCCAATGGTATAAGTGCCAGACTATGGGCAGGAGAAGACTGATGTCCCAGCTTAACCAGTTATACAGAGAAAGAGAATTCCCTCTTCCTCCTCTTTTTGTTTTATTCAGGCCCTCAATGGATTCCCTCACACTCGGAAGAGCTATATGCTTTACTCAGTCCCCCAATTCAAATACTAATCTTGTCCAGAAACACCCTCAGAGGCATAACCAGAAATAGTGTTTAATCTGGGCACCCCATGTCTCAGTCAAGTTGACATGTATAATTAACCATTTACATTGTTGGACTTGCCTCACTTTTTTTTTTAATTGGAATCTCACTCTGCCACCCATGTTGGAGTGCAGTGGCACGCTCTTGAATTGGCGTCTCACTCTGCCACCCATGTTGGAGTGCAGTGGCACACTCATGGCCACCACAGCCTTGACTTGCTGGACTTAGGCGATTCTTCTGCCTCAGCCTTCCAAGTAGCTGGAACCACAGACATGTGCCGCCATGCCCGGCTAATTTTTTAAATTTATTTTAAAGACAGGGTCTTGCCAAGTTGCCCAGGCTGGTCTCAAACCCCTGGGCTTAGGCTGTCCTCTAGCTTACGCCTCCCAAAGTGCTAGAATTATGGGTGTGAGCCACCGCATTTGGCCTGGATTTGTCTCACATATTTTTTTAAAAAGAGCCAGATACGTGGGCTTTTGCCTATAATCCCAACACTTTGGGAGGTGGAGGCAGGAGGATTTCCTCAGCCCACAAGTTCAAGTCCAGTCTGGGCAACTTGGTGAGACCTCATCTCTATAATAAATTTCAAAAATAGCCAGATGTGGTGGCACAGGCCTGTGGTTCCAGCTATTTGGAAGGCTGAGGCGGAAGGATTGCCTGAGTCCACAGGTTGAGACTGCGGTGGCTGTGAGCATGCTACTACACTCTAGCCTGTGTGACAGAGTGAGACTCCAACTCAAGAAAAAAAATTTACATATATATACACACACACACACTTACATATATGTATGAATGATTTGGCTTTGAATCTGTAGAGTTAATTGTATTTAAGAAAATCTTTAATTAGCTAGGCATTAAAGGGGGGAACATTATTTTCTCTCATTCTCATTTTGACCTTGGTATTTTTATACTTTCATACTTCATTTATGATATAGTCCTTTTTGGGGGTGATTTATTAGCTGTACAGCAGTAGTGCCTCCACCCCAGCTTTCAACCCCATAACATTTTTTTATTACAGGTCTCCTGTTGATGTTCTAAAATAGTGAAAAATATAACACAATTCAGCTTAGTACAAAATGCATCAACCTAGAGTTTGATAGCTAACTGATGGCTCTCTTAAAAGTAATAAATATAAGAAAAAAGTGTTTGAAACCAGTAAGACTGAGGCTTTCTAAAAAAACACATTTTAAACATGGGACAGTTCATGTATAAGAATAACTTTTTAGTTGATTTTGCTTCACATTATTTGTTTATTTATTTTTTAAGATCTAAAGTTTAAATTTTAGTGACCTAGTGAAATTTTTGGTTCGGCTTATAAGGGCTGCTGTGACCCACTCATAATCACCCTTCTGCTTTAATAGAAAATTTCTAAAACACAACATTCAGCTACAAATAGAGAAAAGAAATTGTTGGTGGGAAATCATAACTGAAAGTTAATTGTACAGGGTTCAAGTGCTGAGTGCATAGACTGAAAATCACAATCTTCCATGTGAGTGTATGATGTAGTCCTTTATATGATGGATATAATCTGTTTCTTAGCATCAATAGCTCTTCTTACTTGGAGTATACCATAGCATGTACATATTTTCAAGTTCTCAAGACAGGAAACATTTTCACCAGAGATTTTCATTCCATATATATATATTTTTTTTTTTTTGAGTTGGAGTCTCACTCTGTTTCCCAGACTGGAGTGCAGTGGCTGCTCCTGGCCACTGCAGCCTTGACCTGCTGGGCTCCGGCAATCCTTCCGCCTCAGCCTTCCAAGTAGCTGGAACTACAGGCGCACGCCACCACTCCCAGCTAATTTTTTAAAAAATTTATTGTAGAGATGAGGTGTCGCCAAGTTGCCCAGGCGGGTCTCGAACCCGCAGGCTCAGGCAATCCACTCACCTCAGCCTCCCAAAGCACGGGATTACAGGCTGAGCTACCGAGCCCGGCTCCATATTCTTTATTGGTCTCTGCAAGCTTGAATTTAGGGCATTTTTCTCAGTGTCTTACTTTTTTTTATTTTTTTTTTGAGTTGGAGTCTCACTGTCGCCCAGACTGGAGTGCAGTGGCCGCTCCCGGCCACCGCAGCCTCGACCTGCTGGGCTCCCGTGATCCTCCCGCCTCAGCCTTCCGAGTAGCTGGAACTACAGGTGTGCGCTACCACACCCGGCTAATTTTTTATTTATTGTAGAGATGAGGTCTCGCCAAGTTGCCCAGGCGGGTCTCAAACTCGCGGGCTCAGGCAGTCCACTTGCCTCAGCCTCCCAAAGGCGCGGGATTACAGGCTGAGCCATCGAGCCCGGTTTAGTGTCTTACTTTTTTAGTCAGCACACTATTTTTGTGTCAGATAATGGAATATTTGTAATGTTAGGAAATTTGTCTTGGTGCCTCAGTTTATCTTTAAAATTAAGCGGTGTTCATTAGATTATTTCTAAGATATCTGATCTGAAAATACCATGATTATATGTTAGGTATTTTACTGATTTATACTGATAATATAACATTCTTTGTCTTAGTTTTATTTTATTTTATTTTATTTTTTTGAGTTGGAGTCTCACTCTGTCGCCCAGACTGGAGTGCAGTGGCCGCTCCCAGCCACCGCAGCCTCCATCTGCTGGGCTCCGGCGATCCTTCCGCCTCAGCCTTCCTAGTAGCCGGAATTACAGGCATGCACTACCACGCCCGGCTGATTTTTTGATTTATTGTAGAGATGAGGTCTCGCTGCCCAGGCGGGTCTCGAACCCGCGGGCTCAGGCAATCCACTCACCTCAGCCTCCCAAAGGCACGGGATTACAGGCTGAGCCACCGAGCCCGGCCTTAGTTTTATTTTTATTGGTTTCTTTTTTTTCTGAGTTTTAACTTTTTATTTATTTTAATTTTTTCTTATTTTAAAGATGTGTGGTACAATTTCAGAATTAGGTATACAAGTGGACATTATACAGCTAAAGTTTGGGCCTTCCGTTGGTCCCTACTTTGCCTGGTTTGAGATCAGGTGCCCTTACTGATGTTGTGTCTGTCCCCCTACCCCCCACTCCCCTAGTATTCCACTACTGCCAATCACTTATTCTTATTAGTTTCAACTGCTTATCTTGTTCAAGGTTAAATTAGGTCCTTAAAGAATTTCACATTATCTCTACTGAGTTATAGTTGGACTACTCTGGCTTCATGGATATTGTCATGTATTCAGAAGAAGGAAGTAACATTGGAAGAAGCTTTGTCTTTTGCACACCTTTGATAATAAAAGTTAATATTGGGTGAATAGATTACTTGCTTCTAAGCAGTGAAGGAATACTGAAATCAAGAGACTCCATTTGAAGGACGAACATTGGCAAAAAAATTTGGCAATAAAAGTCACAGCAGGAAGCTTGTGAAACTCAACTTAAAAATTATGTATGTATAGAAAAAAATTCACACTAACAGGACATTCTTGTGAAACAGCATTTTTCTTGGCTTTGGATTTTGGAGGGCCTATTATAATATAAAGTAAATGGTATATTTATATATTAGCATAATTAAAACTACTGGGTAGAAGGTACCTGCTGTTGATGTTTCACTTTACATTATCCATTGAACATAAGCATGTAAAAATTGTTAACTCTTTATTAAAATCTTTAATTTTTTTGGTCTTCTCAGACAATAAAATTTGTCTGCTGCTCTCTTGCATGCTGGCCAGGTCTTTGAATCTGAAGATGTAATTGCATTTACTGTTTAAGCTCTATTACTTTTATTTGTCTGGGTATGATAGATTTATATGAGGAAAATTAGGGCTTATTGTTTTAGCAAATGTAATGAGCAATGTGTTTTTCTCTTTAGGATCAAACACAGCATACTGAATCAGCAGGACTGGCTAGTGGTACAGCAAGCATCATGAGTAAGCACAGACAAGTCTGTTCCTTATCACGTGTGTAAGGGGAAAAAGGTAAGAAAACCAATGTTTTTATGTCTCTTAGAGATTGAACTTGAGAAACAATTAGATCTATAGGATATAATGCTGATGAATATATGCTGCTTGCTTCATTTTTAACATTTTGTCTTGTTAAATCAGGAGTTTTTTCCAAAAAAATTTCACTTAAATTCAGAAGAAAAAAGTATTTAAAATTACTGTTAAATTATGTCACAATGCTAATATCTTTGCTGATGCTGGTTTCTCCATTTTAGAGTCCATTTACTGCTACCCTGAGCATAGAAAGGTAATATCAGAAAAACAATGGATTTGAGCAGTATTGTTAGGAGAAATTAGTGGTATATCTACCCAATTAAAGCCATTTATGTTTCTCAGTCTCCATGTAAGAGCTAAATAATTAAAGCTAATTCAGGAATGGGGAATCGGAAATGCAAAACTAATTACTTTTTAAAAATTTTTTTGACTAGTTGTGAAGAGTAATAATTTTCAGCAGAAAACTCAAAGTATTTTATTAATTCTAGTAGAACAGGAATCCTTGACTTTTTCCTGAGTAGGAGTGATGTTAGATTTTTTTCCTCCAAGTATTCATATTATTTAAGGAGTAGAAAATGGTGGAGGGTGTGTGGGCAAGATTTGTTACAGTAACTTATTATACCAGAGTGTTGTATACTCTGGGTCAGTTATCTGATTGCCCCACATAACTGTGAGGAAAGGCATGGGACCAACAGTATTAGATAGAAAACTGAGCTCCTCCTGTCTTCAGTTGAGGATGGAGCAGAGGCACTTGGCAGTGATGTCTTCCTCATCAAAATTCTGGATCTGCAGTTGACAACCTATTTCTTGTCTTCTAGCCCAGGGGTCCCCAACCTCTGGGCCACTTACCAGGTCACACAGCAGGAGATGAGCAGCAGACAAGTGAGGGAAGCTTCATCTGTATTTACAGCCACATGCCATCACTCACATTACCACCTGTGCTCCATCTTCTGTCAGATTAGATTCTCATAGGAACTTAAACCCTATTGTGAACTACACATGCGAGGGATCTAGGGTGCATAATCCTTGTAAGAATCTAATGCCTGATGATCTGAGGTTGAGCTGAGGTGGTGATGCTAGCACTGGGGAGTTGCTATAAATACAGATTATCATTGACAGTGAGGTTTGACTGTACAGAGACCATAATGAATCAGTTGCTTGCAGACTCATATCAAAAGCCTATCAGTATGTAGCAAGTGAGTTGTTGTATTCAGTTGTACAGCTGCATCTTACAGCTGAATCTGACACTTATTTTAGTTATGTGGCCTGCCAATTATTTTATTTGCCACTTCCATCCATGCCTCTTTCTTTTTAATGGTGAGTTGTATAATTATTTCATTATATATTACAGTATAATAATAATAATAGAAATAAAGTTCACAGTCATCCCGAAGCCATCCCTCTTCCTCATCTCCCCGTGGAAAAATTGTCTTCCACAAAACTGGTCCCTGATGCCAAAAAGGTTGGGGACCACTGTTCTAGCCTTCTCACACAGGAGTGTGAGATGGAAGTGCCCTTCTCTGCCTTCACCTGGCAAAATCTTACTCTTCAGATATTGCCTTTTTAGGAAGTTTTTTTACCCACTGTAGCAAAGATAATCACTTATCCACCAAATCCACCAAAATCCATTTTTCCCCTCTGTAGTAGCTGCCTCTGGGATGTGGCAGCCTAGTTAGCCGCCTTTGCAGCCAGATGTGCCTGTTGTGACTAAAGCTCACTACAGGAACATGAGCAGAAATGACATATGCTACTTCCAGGTCTGTGTTTTTAATAGACAGGGCATGCCTCCTCTAATTTCTCTTTCTCCTTACTGCTGTCTCAGTCTAGATGTGGCTGTAACCAACTTTGACTAGGTTGGTCAAAGAACGTTACCCTAGAGCAGTGCTAACCAAAGTATGACCTACTAACCTTTCTTGAGCTGTTATTAGTCCATGCAGAGATAAGGAGCTCTGTTTATTTCAGCTGACATATTTTTGATAGCAAGTCTTTACATGAAGGAAGCAATGTGTTGATCTGTCCTCTTCTTGAAGACTAGCACCTTGAATAATGTTGTCCTGGTATATGCAGGTGAACCAAGGTGGAAGGAACTGGGTTCCTTGCACTGCATCTAGTAGAGTTTCCTGTGAATGTGGAAACTTGTCTTTGTTATGAGATAAACTTGGCTCTTGTTTGAGTCACCGAAAAATCATTGGGATTTTTATAGTAGCCTACCCTACCCCAAGTAATATGCTCTTGCCTCAGTCTGATTTGGATCCACCTATGAGATATTGGCTCCTTTAGGTTAGGGACATTGTCTTATCATTGTAATCTAGTGACCAGGACAGCGCCTGATACATAGTAGATGCGCAATAATGCTTGATGCATGAATATATACAGGTTCATTATAATTAATGTATGGCACAAAGAGGAAGTACCAGTGGAGACATAAAAGGAGCCATTTGATTGGTGCTATAAAAGTGGGATCTCTAAGACTGAGATTCTAGAGAGTATCAAAATGTCTCTAGTTAGTAAAATAAAAAAGAAGAGGTTTAGAAGCAGAAAAAGAAAATGTCCATAGGAAGAAATTATACTCAACTAAGTAATTATATTCCTCTTTGAGATATACATGTATAAATATTTAATGAGCTTCTGTTTTGTATTGGAGATAGATGCTTTTGTAAAAAAGCAATTAAAGAATTCTGACATAAGGTTTAAATTCTCTGAGAGTCCCAGCTTATGCGTAAGAAGACTAACCCTCTCTCAAGTCTTTAGTAAACCACAGACTTTTCTTTGGGAAATGAAACCAAAGAGTCTGAAGACTTGGAGACATCAGATATAACAGAGATCAGGAATAATCTTTCACCATAATGAAGGCAAGAGGATTAAGGGAAATTGTATATAATGAAAGGTTAGACCCTCCTCTTAACCCTTCCTCTTTCAGAAGGTGTCTACAAGGCATTTCATTTTTGGTACCCCCTTAGAGATTATATGATTCTTCTCTGGAGTCTAAAGAAAAGACAGACTGACATTTGGGAGTTGCCCAGTGAAACAGCCATGTTCCCGTCCAATCACCATGGAGTGGAAGTCTTCCAGCTGACATGCCATACATGCAGAGCTTCCAGTTGGCTTTTTTTTTTTGAGTTGGAGTCTCACTCTGTCCCCCAGGCTGGAGTGCAGTGGCCGCTCCCAGCCACCGCAGCCTCGACCTGCTGGGCTCCAGCATTCCTTCCGCCTCAGCCTTCCAAGTAGCTGGAACTACAGGCCTGCGCTACCACGCCTGGCTAATTTTTGATTTATTGTAGAGATGAGGTCTCACCAAATTGCCCAGGTGGGTCTTGAACCCGCAGGCTCAGGCAATCCACTGACCTCAGACTCCCAAAGGCGCAGGATTACAGGCTGAGCCACCGAGTCTGGCTCCAGTTGGCTTTTAATACTTCATTTGTTAAGTAGTTAGACATTTAGGAAAAAACTTCAGTGTGAAAGAGCCCAAAACATGTAAGTACAAAAGAGGAACTTAGAAGAAATAAATAATATTGGAAACAGAAGAAGGTTAAAAATAAAAACAAAAACCCAAACTGTAGGTAATTACATCAGAGAGGTAAGAGAACAAGATGCCATAAAAAGGATCAGAAAAATAAATTGGTCTGGGAATTAAAAATATAAACATTTTTGGTGCAGTTTTAAAAATTTTAAAACAATCTCAAGCTTATAGAAAACTTGCAATACAGTACAGATAACTTTTTTTCTCTGAACCATTTGAGAGTAAGGTGTGTGTTGCATGCCCTACAACTTTTGAATGTCTTACTGTGTATTTCCTGCAAATACAGATATTCTTCTACATAAACACAATACAGCCATTAAAGGTAATTAATGTTGATGCATTACCACCATCTGATCCTCAGACTTCATTTAAATTTTTCTAGTTGTCCAATAATGTTCTTTTATATCAAGAGGATCTAGTTTAGAATCACATGTTACATTTAGTTATCATGTCTCTTTAGTCTTCAGTCTGAAACAATTCTACTTCTTTGACTCTCTTGACCATGATACTTTTGAAGATTACAGACAAGTTATTTTGTAGAATATTTCTTAATTTGGGTTTGCCTGATGTTGCCACATGACTAGATTCAGTTTATGCATTTTGGTTTGGGAACATCACAGAAGTGATGCTGTGTTCTTTTTATTGCAACCTAACAGGGAGCACAAATTTCCATTTATTCCATTATTGATGGTGTTCACTTTGGTGACTTGAGTAAGGTGGTGTCTGCCAGACTGTTCCTTTGAAGTTACTCTTTTTTCCTTTGGTAATTAGTAATTATTTTTATGGAGAGATACTTTGAAACTATGTAAATATCCCATGCCTTATCACAGATACAATTTATTCATTCATATTATGTAAAGACTTGCAGTATTCTTTTTTATTCAGTGCATTATAATTTATTGCTATAGATATTTATTAATTTTATTTATTTATTTATTAGATATTTATTTTGACACTCAAATTGTCTCTGATTTGGCCTGTGGGAGGCCTTTCAAGATGACTTCTGTTGTCCTTTTGACATGCCCCCATCATTCTTAGAGTACTTCCTTGCTTTCCACCACACAAGACACTCAAGGCTCCTCTTTTCTTCTTCTTTTTTAAATTGAAATATACCTTGTATATCATAAAATTTACCCTTTTAAAGTATATAATTTAGTAGTTTTTATGTATTCACGAAGTTGTATGACCACCACTACTAATTCCAGAATATCTTCATTACCCCAAAAAGAAACTCTATACTGATTACCAGTCACTCCCATTTATCTTCAGTATCCTCAGCCTCTGACAACTATTTACTTCTGTTTCTATGGATTTGCCTATTTTAGACGTTTCATATCAATAGAATCATATAATGTGTGACTTTTTGTATCTCCTTCTTTTAATTGTTATAATGTCTTCAAGGTTCATCTTTGCTGTAGAATATATCAGTACTTTGTTGTAGAATATATCAGTATTTTATTCT